ATGCATTTTCTAATTTTTTTCGCCCGAATAGCTAGCTAATATGATGTATTATTAGGGTGTAACTCTAAATTAGTGAAATAAATCAAATCTAATTGCAGACTATATTAACAAAATTAAACTTAAACACGTATTATATTTCAATCATCATTTTAATAAAAAACAACTCAATTTAGAAAATAAAGTTCAATATTGTGTTCATATTTTAAGTCAAGTACTTATTTTTTGAAGAAGTGTCCATCTGTCTGGCAGCCTATCGGTCTGTGTACTTGTTTATCTCAATTTCGATTGAAGTGATTTTTATTAAAATAATTCATAGCTGAGTTTAGTTTGGCAATGTAATGGATTATATTTTTTATCATATTTAAAGTACTGCTAGTATGAAAATGAATATTTTGAAATTTAATTTTTTGATTTCGGTGGGTTAACGTAACTAGCTGATGAATTTTTCAGGAAAATTCAAACAAATTCTCTGGGTATATTAATTGGAAATTTACTACCTTATACTTATATAATTAAAATAAATGTTTTTTAAAAGCTTGTTCTGCACTTTCTAGTTAACTATAGAAAATATACTCTGAAGTCGATTATGTGCTGTGCTGACTACAGTAGACTTTGAGATAATGTGAAAGAAAATAATCGAAATTTTTTGATAAAAGATTTTCAAATTCCAATATCGTAATCATAATCATTGAACTTTTCAAAAAAAAAAAAAATTCTTTTAACCCAAGATGATTCAATGATATTGTATATAATTTACATTTGCTTTCTTTTCCTCGTTATATTTTATATAATATTATAAACTAATCATAGAAGATCATCATAATTTATGACCATCTTTTAACTACGATTTCTTTTCTTATTTTCATGAGCAAAAACCAAATATAAATCCTTTCATATTTATCTAATAATTTATTATAATATATTATTTCTTTTCTCCATTTCTTTATATATGATGTGTGTACAATGTGTTTGCTTAATATCCTTTTATATTCTATATAAGAAAATATTAAATAGGATACCGTCATTCACATCAGTATCATTGTATGTGTATATATGTATGTACCTTGAATATTCTCCTAAATTTAATAATAATAATAATAATTTAAATAGTATCGTGTGAATATTATAAATTCCAATAAAAGGTTATTTATAGATAAAACGAAAAATCAATAAAAGGATAATAAAGAAAACAACAACTGCAGGAAAGTAAAAATGTTAAAAAAATATTTTTCACCATTCTAGACATCCTATCAAAACATTTATTTTGTTTTTTTTCATTTAATTTCCCCTTTTCTATTACTTTCACTTTCCTTTAAACTTTTCAATATTATAGACATGCAAAGTGTTAATTTTTTTTTTACAGGATATTTATTTAATAGTATGCTACTCATAGTGTTTTTTTTAATTTGAAGGCGAACAAAAATGTGAATTTGAAGTTTAAAAATTAAATTGTAAAGAAAAATTGGTAATCAAGAAAACAGATACTTAAAATGTTCTAGAAAATAACAGTAGCGTAGTATTTAAACACAATTCAGCTTAAGAGTTCTAATTGCTGAATTGTGTGGCTATTGCTTTTTACTCTTATTTAGAAATCATACAAATAGATTAATAAAATTAATTGTAAACAAGTTCTCAATTTTATAGAAATATAATTATTATAACATACATATTTCATTAAAACAATAATCATCAACCTAAATGCAAAGTTAAAATATAAGTTTGAATTATTCAGCTATGTATTTTCAGAATTAATTTAATTCCAATTTAAAATCGTAAATGGTTCTACGGCGCTTAGTAAAATATAGTCCTAAGTCTTATTTTCTTATTTCAGCAATGCTATTTTAATTGCTGAAAAAATTGAGTCAGCTTTAGATCTATATTTAGGTGTTTCTCCAATTTTAAGGTCGTAAATGGAATGTGGTTCCAGTCAAAATGTAAATTAAATGTTGATTTGACTTATTCAGCAATGTAATTTTAATTGTTAAATAATTCAAGTTACAGCTCCATTTTAGTTTCTTTTATAAAAAAAAAACATTATTTTTTAATATATAAAATTAAAAAATTTTCTAAAACACCTCGTTTAGCTTAAAAATGTAAGGTTAGATGTATGTGCATACATATCTTCATCATGTATTTATGTAGCTATACTTGCATAGTTGCATTATGTATTTATTTATTTTTACAACATGTCATCCTTGAACTTGAAATCTGTCAAATAGGAATTTTCAAATCAAGTATAATTTTAACATAAATAACGCAGGGAAATTTATGAATAACGAGCATGAAGTAAACCCCTTCTCAAAAGAATATTTTAATACTTATTATATTTGAACGTTAGAAAAATGAGTATAATAATGAGTACATTTCAAAAGATTATAAGAATTTTTTTCATGTGTATATGTATGCCAAACCGTTTATATGTACATACATATGTGCATAACTAAAGCTAAACTATAGTTAACTATCCCAATAGAGGGTCGAAAATTCATTTCCCTTTTTTATACCCCTTTTTTTTGGAACGTGATTTAAAAAAAATTCAACAAAATGTATGTATATTTAACGTTAAAAACATTATGAGCGTGTGGTACACGAAATTTCTATTGAAATTTTAAAGCGTTTTTAGCACATGTGTTTTAATTCTTATACTTATGTGTATGTACATAAAATTATTTTAAAAAAATTTCCGGATTGTCATCATGCTGGTTCAATTCAGCAATACAATTTTAATTAAGTAAGTATAATGTTGCGATATTCATTTTAGTATACTAAGTCTTAATTTTAATTCCAAATTGTCACAATTTTTGTTAAATTAAATTTAGTTTAATATTTTTCTACTTTAAGGTGGTTGGGAATTTCTTTTTAAATGTTTTTCATCTAATTCAATACTTTAGCTGAGCGGGAAATCTAAAACTGGTTAATATTTTCTTCTACTTATAAAAATTTATAGTATATATAAGTACACAAATTTATATATATAATTTCATAGTATAGGGTAACAAATTATAATTGTGTCACATTTGTTATTAAAAGTAAAAAAAATAATGATTTGTGCTTTCCCAATTAAAAAAAACGCTAACGAAAAAGGGTGCTTACAAAGTCTTCAGGAAATTTTTTAATTTTTTTTTAAAATAAGGGGTTGAAAATCACTGACCTTGAATTCAAATGTTACCAAAAAATAATTGCGAAGAATCGTTTAAGGATATTTAAAATGAGAATTTCAATTATACATATTTATATACATAAATACAAAAATAATTATGAGTTTACCGTTTAAAAAAAATTAGCAGTGGAAGTTCCAGCGAAAAGAGTAAATATTAAATAAACCCTCACAACACACTTTCAGTAGAGATTTATTTAAATATTTTCAAATAGGTGTTTAAGAAAATTATAAAAAGTACAATGTTGCTGACGATGACGTTGGTATGATTCTATAGAATCCTGAAACGGATAACACGGTACCTTTTACGAAAAGTTACGTTTAACGCATAGCTTTTCAAAATAAGTTGCAAAACGCCGATAACATTTGTATCGCCTGGAAATATGATATTGTAAAAATATTAAAAGTTGACCCATAAGATTAACAATAGAAGGACGTAAATATAATTTTTTTTTTATTTTAATTCAATTGAGTTACCGTTAAAAATATTTTTAATATGAGTTAAACTTTACGCCTTTTCTTAATTTTAACTTCAAATAAATTTCAATTTCCTTAAAATAACTTTTTTTTTTTGCAAAGAAGATATTAATATAGATTATTATGATATATTTTCTATAAATAATGTATGTATGTATGTGTAGGCTTTTCATTCACAATGAAAATCATGATTAATTTTTGTCAGAAAAATTATTTAACTAAAATATTTGACCCTATTCTGTCTATTTATATTGGATCTCTCTTTATAGTTTGATGTATGGACATACTATATATGTACATGAATATGTATACAACACTTTGCATAATGTACATATATACATACATACATAATATGTATTCACATATTATAGAGTTGTATATTCCACCAGAGGTACATAGCGTATAAAAAACTCAAAAGGAAGAAAGTTAATAATATGTTCTAATGTTGATTAATAGGATAAAGCCTATCGTCATAATAGACATTTCGCAGAGGTCAATTTAAACAAAGGAAAAGAAAAAGGAAATTAGTGATTTTGAAAGTTATATACATATGTTAGTATGCATGTAGCCATGCACTGACGCAGATTACATTTATTTTGTATAAATCGTATATAAACAAGTAAAAAAAGAAATATGTGTAAGATACAAAGTGAAGAAAAGGCTTAGGAAGATACTGAAATAAAATTTAGCAGTTGGCGTATAATTAAATCGAAATAATCAGTGCAACCATTCTGTTATATAAAATGGTTTTCTAAGGAATTTCATGACAAAAGGGATGGATTCAAGATCAAAACAGCATCTTAAGCATTATAACCCTTGAATCTTCTAAAATTTCAAATATTTTACTTTTGAATAATTTTAAGTGTTGCTACAAGTATACAAGTTAATTTTTTGGTTTTTTTGCATTTAAGTTTGCCTTTTTCTTAAATTGCCACAACGTCATATAAAATGTACTTCTATTAACGGTAATGTAAATGCTATCAGCCCCCTACAACGGCAGATATTGTAATTAATACAAAATGAAATTACAAAAATTTTATGAAATTTCTAATAAATATTGAATAATACAAAACTCACAAAATGATTTGAAAACACTGATGGTAAATCTAAATTGAAAATTAGTGCATATGGCAACAATTAACAATAATTTTCAATATATTTATCATATACATATGTAAAAAAAAATTAAATATTTATTACGTCAATAATTCAATTAAAATTATTTTATAAGAAGAATTTACTAATTTTCTTTTATCAAACCTCTACTGTTAAATAAGCAGAAACGGCATATCTAATAAATCAGCTGTTATTTTCTTGACACTTATGTCTTGTTATCAAAAAACATAAGTAGAAAAGCAAAACAAAGTTGAAATGAAAAAAATATTTAGAAAAATAAAATTATAATAATTAATTTTATAATAAATAGTAGGTTCTGAATTCATTATTGTAGTAGAGATTGATAAAATATTGTAAAATAAATTAAATATTTAATATAGGACTTTTTTTGGCAGAAAAGTAATTTAATTGATTTTTTTAAAAATAGCTTAACATATGTAAATATCTAAGGTAAGTACTAAGGTACTAACAGCTTTCACCTAACGTTACAAAATTACTTTGTCTTGTTTAAATATTCCTATGTATGTATGTAATATAAAAAGAAAATGAAAAGATTATTAATTTTTTTATTTGATTGTAGATTGTACCCAAGATTAAAATAGGATATAACAAAAAATGTCGTCTAGTTCACGAAGCATTCCAATCAATGTAGCAAGTCGTTATCCTAGATCGTCGCGTAGACGAAATTCAATTGAAGAGGATATGGATAAAGATGAAGTACCTAATACAACCATGAGTGCATCATATAGTGAAATATTAAATGTTGATATTCCAACTGAAAGTAACGAATATGAATATTCTAATCAAGAATCACATAAAAAAATTAGTAATTCTAATTCTACCGATGACGAATTACAAACTGGTGAAACAATAGATAGTGAACCTAATGAAATAATAGATCATCGTCCCAAATCATTATTATGTGATAGTTCATTCCCCTATAATTTAGAAGGAACAATTAGCAAAGACGGTGACGTAACTAATTTTGTCGCAAAAGATTTAGAACATAAAATTCGATTATCTAGTCCTAGTACTAAAGATTCACCATCCCATAATAGCACTAGTCCATCAACGTCCGGTATAATGACAAGACATTTTTTATCGTCTCAAAATTTACCACAAATTGATTCAAATGTTTTAAATGATATTGAAATTGAAGCACAATATTTAGCAGCATCTGCTGATAACTTAATAGAAAATTTAGGTAATTTATTACACTCAATTTCATCAATAACAAGTGATAATGTAGAAGTACATAAAAATGCTGTTAGTAAATTAACAGATTGTATGGATGCTAATATAAAAATTATGTATACAATAATGGCAAAAACTGAAGAAATTACAGAATCAATGAAACCAACAGAACAAGTAGCACAAAGAATACAACAAATTAAACGATTTGTTGATATGCTAGAAAGTAATTTGTAAAAATTACCTTTTTCCCCCATGCGTATTTATTGGAAAATATCTATGGATGTAATCTTTGATATTACAATTGACATTTTGATATTGTTTGAGTAGTGGTCTTCTTCAAATCAATTGTCCTATCTCTATTCTCTAAAGTACACATATACTTTTAAAAGACATTATTTTTACTATAAAAAAAGTGTTATAAAATAGGGAACGTGGGTAATGTAGCCTCTGTCAGCCACTTAAGTCGTATGTTGAAGATACAGTTTCGGAAATTTGAAATACCTATTAGATTTTTCAAAAATGGTATATATCTCCATAAATCTCCATAAATCTATATTCTACATATTTATGTACTAAATGCTTTTTTTTTTAATGCAGACGTACTAATTAAAATGCCTTACATTGTTTGTAGTGCTTGATTTCCAAACCCGAGATAGAAATGTTTAAGATTCAAATTACCAAAAAAACTCATTATAGTTGAGTATATAGTGATAGATAGTTTGAAAATAGAAAGCTATTATTAAAATTATTATTAAAATCAAATTTCCTTACATAGAATTCGTGCAATTTAAAAATTTATTAGTGGTCAAAATTAGGTCTAGAATATTTTTATAATCACAATGTAGACTGGTAATGCTCTGTAATGTCTACGTTTTATAAATTTTCACAAAATCAGTTTCTGCTATAATACTCTCTGCAATTTATTTTCTTTAGTTTTCGTTGTGGTAGCAGAACACTATCACAATATATTAAGATTGCTTCTTTTCTACGCTTTCACGTTATAGCCTTAAAATTTTTCCCTTTATTATTTATAATTCGAAGTATACACAATATTTAAAAATAATATGTATATATGTAAATTAGCGTTAATAATTCAGCTTATATGGAATTAATCCAAAATGATAAGACGAAGTTTACCAGCGTATTTCTAGAATATAAAAAAAATGACAAAATATTAATTATCCTATCTTCATTATACTAAATCATAAATTAAACAAAAAACAATAAAATTATAACAAAAAGTAAAATTATTTTATTCAAATTTAAAATAATAAAAAAAAAAATATATAAAGAGATTATTACATAATATAATACATGAATTGGTCTTCGTTTTTTAATAAAATTAAAATATGTTTGTATCAAGTATTATTTTTTTTTTTTATTAAAAATTAATATATTTATTTCTTTTGGAATAATATAATTATTTTTAAGAGGCATTTGACATGCCTTTTTTAATAATATTTTTACAAATTTTAAAAATTACTAAATTTTAATTTTGAAACCAAAGTCATCGATAACATTAAAAAATAATTATACGGTTTATATAAATACAATTATATAATGTATACTAAATATTTTTTATTTTAATACAATGTTTTACTAATTAAAGTAAATTGATTTTTCTTAAATAGGTTTAATAGTTCGAACAGAAATTTAAAAATAAAATTGTGTGTTAAATATTGGTAAAAATTATTTTATCATCTATTTCAAAATAAATTTTAAGAAATTATATTTGATTTTATAATAACTATAATTTATTATTTAATTAAAATAAATTTAAGTTTCAATATTTAAAAAAAACAGAAGAAGTTTAATTTTTTTGTAATTTCATATAAATTTTCATAATATTAATAACCATTTTCAGAGTCTTAAAAACATTTAAAAAAAAATAATAATTAAATATTATTACTGTTTATAATCCTTTTTTTCATTAATTAAATTTGCAATTTAAAAATAAGCAAAACTTCATCAATAGTGTTATAGATAAAATGTTTTAATGTGGGCAGTGAAGATGAATGTTACTAATGTGCTAATAATATAATTTACAACGAATTGTAGGTTGAAAACTAATTGAAGTGAAATTATAATTTTTCAAAATGAAAATTTAGAAATGTTACAGATATTGTTTTGTTTGGTGGCACATAAATTAAAAAAAAAAATAATTTAAGATGTAAATTTGAGATGTGTACAAGCGAATATCATGAAAAACACAACACTATTTTAATTTTTATTATTTTTTTTCTTTTTTTTCTTTTTTTTTTGTATATAAAAGTGCAGTTTTGCAATAATGCAATAATAAATTTTAAAATATGATATGTAATTTTGTTGAATTTATCAATAGATGTTAATGCTTGCAAAATTCTTACAAATTCTGAAATTTGACGCTAAAACTTGAACTTAATCAAAAAATTAATGTTTTAGACCCTGAATATGTTTCAGTTCTAATTATTTTCTTTTTTTAATATTCGAACGTAACACCTTCAATTATTTTTTTTTAAAGATCGAGAACATTATGCTAGCAAATGAAAGTTTAAGACAAGAAAGTAAAATATTTCAAAAAAGTTTTTAATTTCACAATGGCACCAAATTTTCACATACATATTTTACAATTTCCATATTTTTTTTTTTTATATAATTTATTTTATTTTATTTTTTTTTTGCTTTTTATAGTTTTATTAAATTTCAAAGATCCTTTATAATACAAGCTTTAAAAATACTTCTAGTTTTTATCTTTTATTTTTTTTTTTTTTTTGTATTTTAAATATTTTATTTATATATTATTTGTTAAAAATTTCAATTAATTTGACTTCTGATATCTGTTTTTCGTTAAGGCTTTTGTAGATTCAACTTTGCAAAAATATTTTTATAGAAAAGATTTAAAATTGAAAAAGAGTTGAAAAGAAAAAGTTTCGCGCATTTATTTTATAGCAATGCTTCTTACTAAAATGAAAATTTCGTGGCTAATATAAAATCGTTAAAATTTATACAAATATACGTACATTATTTTTTAACAAAGCGCATATGTAATACATATTTATAATAATTTTTATACAACATTTAAGTCCTAGAAATCATTTCGTTGATTTTTACTTTAGCTATAAAATAAATTTTCAAAATTTTATTTTTGATTAATATATGTAAATAAATCTATAAAATTTAAAAATATAATTTATGTTATGCGCTTTGTTTTTAATATAATGTGTAAATATTTTACAGATTTTGCTATCTTCTTTACCTTAAAATTTCTATTTTCAAAAACTGAACTATTTCAACAACCTATTAATTATTATTTCAGAGCAAAATTTTAATATTTTTTTTTTTAATTTTTTTTTTTTATAATTTTCAAATTTATTTCATAAAATTTTTGTAATTTTTGTTCTAATAATAATAACTAATAACGAATCTTTAAAATTCACTACTAATTCTTGCTTATTTTACATAATATTTTCATTGAATTTTGAGATTTTCATTTATAATCTCTAAATTAAATAATATAATTTGATAAATGTATATATACATATTATGTATAACTATATATATATATATACATACTTGTATATATATAAATTCGATATTGATCTTTAAAAAAAACTCTATATTACGCTTTCCATACAATTTAATTTTTTCGTCTTCTTTGGTTATTGAACAACTATTAAATTTTTACATTATCCCTTTTAAGTAATTCCCGATGTTTAAATTTTAATTTATAAATGAACAATATTTTGACTTTGTAAATTTACAAATTAGAAATGGCAAAATGACTAAAATAAAAGCTCTAAATTTCATTGCGCTTAATAAACATCTTATTCAAACATATAAGGGCAATAAATATTATGAAAAGCTTACAAAGTTAAGCTTGAATTATTTTACAAGAAGCAAATTTATTTATTTTATTAAAAATAAATACTGTTAATAATTTTTTGTAATTCGTGGTCACAATTTGAACTTCTAAATATAAAAAAATAAATTCATGTGTAATAATTTTTTTAAGTATACATGCAAAATTTAATGGTCACTTTATATTTCTATAAAAGAATTTTTAAAAACCGTAACAATTTTAATTTTGTCAACTTTGATTCTGTCGTAATCTACAAAAACAAAACAAATTCGACAACTGTAAATATTTGAATTGAACAAAATGTTCATAAAACATAAAAATTGCATGTATACGTGATGATTTAAAATAAAATTTTCCAAAAATAAATTCATGTTATGTACATATTTCCTTAAACTTCAGAATTTTCTAAATAATAATATATGCATTTGTAATAAAATTTAACTAAAGTTAACTAAATGTGTAATAATACATAAAATGTAAAATTAATTTCATGTCTTAATATTTTAATATTAAATCACACTTTGAGTAAATTTATTTTTTTTTATTTTTTTTTTTATTAAAGAAAAATAATTTCATTAATTTTTCTTTATTATTTTGTATAAAGAATGGAATTATACGAATATTTTTGATAATTTGTTATCTTTTTCTTTGTTCTATATGTTTTTTCTTTGTTTTCTTACTAGCTAGATAATCTAAAAACACACTTAAATAAAATACAAAAAGATAAATTATTACATAATATTGTAAATTATCAATTAAAAATTCTTCATATTTGTTTCAATTTTATACACATTTTTTCAAAAAAAAAAAAAAAGAAAGTAAAATCATTACGCAATAATATTACTATTTTTGTTTAAATCGGTTAATAAATCTGCATCCAAGTCATCACCGTCTAATAAATCTGTGCAAACTTCACCATTTAATAAATGTGAATTACCTCCTTCAATAAGAATTCCATTAGAATTTGTAATTGTAACAGTACCTCCACCAATACCATTCACTGAAACGGAATCCATTGATGGATGTGAATAATCATCACTGCCACGTTCTCGTTCTCTGACAATGTGTGGTGCTTCATTAAATTCATCTAATTCATCCATACCTAAAAAAATTAAAAAAGATTAAGTTTCTTTCTCAAAACAAAAAAATGCATCTGAATTTTCTAATTTTTTATACCTGAATAATTTGGACCAGCCAACAGTAAATATTGTCCAGCACGATTAGGCCATAACAAACCTGTCATAACACAATAAGCTAAACAGTCAGCTGAATTTGTTATACCCAATAATAATTTATATCTCCACATTGGACTAACTTGTAATGCAACTACTGCAACAATTGGTAAATATATAAACCATACCAGACTGGAAGCTCCTAAATGTAGAAGAAAATCTAATTTTTTCGTTGAATGTTCGTACTTCATTGTATTGCGAAGTTCCCACAAAAACCACATCATGAATGATGTTCTAAAATAAAAATTAAAATAGAAATATATTTGCAATTACCGCATAAATCAAAACATATCCCTTTTGAAAAAAAGTAGTAAATTAATTTACCTTAAAACTAAAACGATCCAACCCGGCCATGTTTGATATTCATCAATATCAGATATAATATCGACTTCCGTCTAAAATTATAAAATACATTATGAATTAAATATAGATTTAAAAAAAAAAAGATAATTTACTCTATCCCAGATATATAAAAAAACATGAAAAGCGCAATAGGGCACCCAAATTGACATTAAAATTATCCATCCAGTTTTACTTATTTGTTGTCTTGTTACAGCCCATCCTTTTGCCAACAACAATAAAATTAACATAAATGAAGTCTGAAAATTAAAATATAAATTTTAGGTTAATATAAAACAAATATTGTATAAACATATTGTAAATTTTTCTTACTCTGCTAAATATGTCTAAAATATCTCCAACTGTTTGAAAATCTGGTTCTCCAATACCATTTATAGCAAAATTGATATAATGCGTTGTAATAAACGCTAAACTTACAAATTCACTTATTAAACTAATCGTAAATAATTTTGTAACTGGATGTTTTTGTAATCTAACTGCATAAATTTGCATAGGAACTAATATTATATATACTAATAGAAATATCATATACATTTCTAATAAATTTTGTTGTTCAAAAGAAAATTGAAATGTTAATGGATGCAATGATGATGTATTTGGATTTCCATTTACTAAATTTATATCATAATTAATTGTTTGTGATGCTATATTTGCATTTGTTAATTTTGCTGGATCGTAATAATGCCATTGGCAAGTTGAACGATTTCTATAACAAGCCACCATCGAAACATACCAAAATCTAAAAGAATAAATTAATAGTATGTATTTATATTCTATATGAGCAGATGAATAAAAAGTATATACTATAGAAATTGTATTCGATTACTCTTAAGTAGCTATCGTTTTTTTTTCGTATTTCAAATTAATTAATAATATTTTCCAATATCATATGTTAGTAATTTCAAAAATCGGATTTGATTAATGATTAACACTTCATCAGATCAAAACAATTGAATTAAGATAACATGAATTTAAAACAACATAAAATATCAACAGATATCGCATTTTTATTATTAAATTTTTTAGAATTCAGACAAAATAAAATCCTTTATAACGAATTATGAAAAAGTTAATAAAATAATATAATAATATAAAATCAAAGCAAATATTTATTTAACAACTCATATCTTAATTGAATTCTTTTTTCAATTCTTTATTATCTTATCATTAAAGGGCAAAAAATTCAGCTGTTGAACTTTAAATCGATTGAGAAAATCTTAAAAGGGGAAAAAAAACAATATATAATTTAAAATATTTTAAATTAAAATTGTTTTTTTTTTTTTTTATTATTTGTTTATTACAGTTTTGTAATGATATCATTTTCAAAATTCCCATCATATTTTAATTAAAAATAATCACAATAAAAAATAATAGTTTTTAATTTTATCAGAACATGTAGTTGCAAATTTTAATTTCATTTCATTGATGCAAACAAAGCAATATTATTTTTTTTTTCTTTTCGTCTTTATTTTTATTTTTAGCCGATTTTTCTTAGAATATAGGCAATCTCAAAATTTGAACAAAAAAAAAAGCTGTTTAATTAATTTTAGTTAAAGTAATGCTATGGCACGAAATTATTCAAAACTTATCGACGTTGCTTTTTTCGTTTACAAAGAACTTAAGAAAAAAAAACATGTTCCGCAACATTGGAGATTAAAACGTCGCAAATTTAATGAAAACAAGTTAAGTAAAAGCACAAATAAAGCAAAAAATGAATTGTTTAACCACCTCTCCATATTCATTAATATACCTATAGGAGTTAAATTAAATTCGTTTGAATGTAGATATTTCAAAATTCAAAGATTGTTATATTTATTATTGTTACATGCTACAATTTCGATTCATTTTGTTGGTTACATTTCAATAGTAAATGCCTTTCTATATTTAGACGGGTACCTACATACATAATATAATGTAGATTTATAGATTTATTTTTCTCAATGCTTAAATTAAGGTGTGTAATTATATATTTATAGCTTTTGAAGACGTAATGTATGATTTTAATTTCCACGTATTTATTTTATTAAAAAAATAGTATACATATATATGTATATATACTTGTTTATAGTTAATGAAATGAATTTTGAGATTATATACCTATTCGTATATGTACATAAATGTATATACATACTTGTTATTGAGAAATTTTTACCTTGGTTGATTTGTATGGCTTAAAACATATGTGAACTGATTTCCTGGTAGAACATTACTAACAGAATCCTCATCAGTACATAATTCACCTTTAGGGCATGGTATTCTTCTTAAATAATCTAAAATTTTAAGGATTATTTTTATCACCATTTTTACAGGTTTAAAAAATTTATGTAAAAAATCAATTACTTACCTGCCATTGCATGATAATTACAATCTGGATCATAAGCTATATTTTTTAAACGTGAAAACATTTTTTGGCACGCAACATCACGATCATAATATGTACGATTTTCATAAAAATCCAGAAAATTTATTTTGTCTAAAACAGCCAATGTTATCGATTGACTAAATTTTTCATCCGATGTGATATTTCCATAAATATATCCATATTGTGGTTGAGTTAGATGTTCAGTCTTTTGAAATCCAAATTTAACAATAAATTTAAAAAAATCATCTGTATGAAATTTCCCAATAATCCGTGTAGGATATATTAAATTAATTTTTATTGTTATTAAAAATAAAGCAATTTGTGCGATTTTGATTAACATTTTCTTTAGTTTTTTTCTCTTCCGATTTTTTTTTTAAGTAATTTGATTTTAATTATTAAGTGTTATTTAGCATTTAAATGCGTTTTTTTTTTTATTATTTTAAGAAAGAAAGAACTTAAATTAATTAGAAATTGAAAAAAAAAATCTTTGAAAAGCGCCGTAGCGCTTCGTTTTACTCTCGTTTCTTTCTACTTCTTTTGAGTTATACCGTGGAGCACAATTTTAAAATGATGTAATTATAAACAATGTAATATTAATTCATAAAAATAATAAAATTTTTACTTCACATTTAAAATATTTAATTGTACAATTTTTTTTTAATTTCTTTTTTTTCACGTCGTTACGCGATATGTTTTTATCCTTGTAGGCTTTTTACCTTTATAGAAAAATAAAAAAAAAAGGAAAAGGAAAAACTTTTTCTTTTATCAAATCTGACATTTCGATTTATATTGTATTTGAGAGAAGGAGATAAAACTATAATATACTTGAAATGTTTTTTTGTTTCAAATGTCTGACAGGTTAGAAATTCAACATATAAACATTGCAAAAAATTAACTTGAAAGAAAATTCAACACAGTAAACAGTGATGCCGTATTTGAAGATTGTTAGCAGATGTGATGTGTTTTTGTTTTTCAATAATAATTAAATAAAATTTAATGATTAAATTTTCGTATCGCAAATAAGGAATAAAAGTGCTAATGATTCATGTCAATAACGATCATGTTAATTAAGGTATTTTCAGTATGGTGCTATAGGCAATATTTCATTTGTGTTCTATTTACGTGTTCAAGCTACTTATAAGTAACAAAAACTATGTATATTACTTCGAACAAATGTGCAAATGATCTGTGCAGTTACGTTATTTTTTTCCAGTAGGTGGAAATATTATTACAATAGATGGATCGGGTATTGACTATGGATTACAATAAATAATATTTTGACATTTTGTTATATTTTAAAAGGTATATGCAAAAAAATTGTTGCATCAAAAAAATTAAGGTAAAAGATCGTTTCATGTAACACGCAAATGGGACGCAAATATTTATGTTACCTGTTTGTCTGATTATTTATGGAAATAATGTTGTTATTATTTTAAATTTGTAATAACATGCTGTATGTTATTAAATTTATAATTTGTCACAATTTGAGCGAGAAAATATCTTTATGAAATCCTTTTTAACTGTACCTAAAATTTTATAGGTGACTTTAAATAATATTTAAAAAATTTGAAAAATAAAGTATTCATTGATTAGAAAGATCAACAATAATAAGGATGAAGAAAAAAACGAAAAAAAAAAAGTTTAAAAGAAAAAAAAACACAAAAACTGCGAGTGAAAACCTAAAAACACACTTTCTATTGTTAAAAATAGAAAAACGACCTCAACACGTTACCACGCCACAAAAAAAAAAAAAAATTAAAATATCTTACTTATATATAATCACACAACCATACACACCATTTTCTTATAGCGCTTTCCTATAGTGATTTTATGATATCTGGACTTTGTTTACAACTTACTTCTATATATACATACACATACATATCTAAGATTTACATATTAGGCGTTAAGCAATATTAAAGGTAGAGTTACCCTAAATTTCCAAATTTTACTAAAGTATAAAATAAAAGCACAACAAAAAAAAAATTAAAGGAAAATAATACTATTTCTTTTTATAATGTTGAATAATAATAATTTGGAGGAAAAGTTTTTCCTATTTCCTGCTTAAAAATAATTTGTTAATAATATCACACCATTAAAATATAGGTACTCATGTGATGCCTTCGCCAAATTCACAAATTCTCAACATTATAAAATAATAATAAGAGCAAAAGTTTAATACTGGTATGGTAATACATAAGAAGAATATTCTTTAATTCCTCCAAAAAATAAAATAAAAAAAAGTTAATAAAACAATGACATAATGAGAAAGACCGAAATTACTTCTTGGGTGCTATTATATTTACACACCAATTTTGATTTTTCTTTTCTGATTTAAATGGCGTTGACAACATTTTTTTTTATTTTCGGATCTACTTATAATAATTTCCGTTTAAGCAAGTAAATGAATTTCAAAAGTTTTAGGCAGGTTTAGGTTTGGCAAAATTTTGACAAATTCAGTTGCAATTTTCAAATTGTATTTTGTAAATATATTAAGCATAAGCAGTGAGTTTAGGTTTTTGTATTTGGCAGTGTTTAACTAAAGTAGTTACCGTACGTAAGAAATTTCAAATTTTTGGTGTTTTTTATGGTTTTATGCTTAAAACTTATTATTGATAAAAATATTTTAAATGATAATTAAAAAACGATAAAATTTTTGATTATCTCCAATAATCATTAATGAAATACTTTTCATACAAGTGTGTTGATTAAAATTGAAGAATCAATTAAAAAAGTTTAATATCACCCAAATATTATCTCTTTTGTAGCTTATGTGACAGAATGGTTACCCATTCCTGATTTTTATGCATGTTCCCTTATACATAAAACAAAATTTTATTACATAGATATTTTATTATACCTGCTTATTATTATACCTTTATGTACCTATTTACCACAAAAAAAAAAAATTAATGCGTTAAATTTTATGTACCTTATATTGGTCACCTTACATTTATATTCACACATAAATGATCCATTTCAACAATTTTTTTTTTTTTTGTAAATGTATTTGTAAAGAAAATCCATATTGGTACAGTCGAAATTAAAAATTTGAACTATGTCTTAATAATTGTGTCTTGGATAACCTTTAAAACTTAAAATAAACTTCGGATTTTAAATGCAAAAATTAATTAAAAATATGAAATAAAAATTTTATATAATTTTGAATTTTTTCAAAAAAAAAAAATATATAATATTATGAGCTATAATCATTTGGTCACATTTTTAAATTGTTTAACTGAATGACGAATTGTGATTTATATTTAACATTGCATCTCTAAATCAAGTCGATATTTTACTGAAAAATATTGGCTTGATTTAGCAATACAATTTCAATTTCTCAATTAATCAATTTGGGCTTATAGATCTGCATTTTGCTTAGTAAGCATTATTTTGTACTTAGTAAGCATTCTACTGTGTAGTTGAATAACGTATAAGAATAAGTTCTAATATACAATTATGATTTTTATATACGGTATAGCAACAAGATAAAAAAAAAAATTGAAATCTTACATGCTATTGTTATTATACTATAAAAACTAATTAATTAATCAACATTGTACTTAACAAACGTGTATACAGGTGAATCAATTTCATCGTATATTAATGAAAACATTAAAAATGGTTTTTATTGATTTCCCTAAATTTTTTACTATAATATAATCTTAAATTTTAAGTCCTTAAAACTATAAAATTAAATTAGAGTCATAATTATTTTAAAATAAAAATTGATATATTAATATCATAATATTTGTTCAGATAAATTTTGTTTTTCCATTTATAATGTTAAAAAAATTTTCGACACATTTGATGACAAAAAAATAGTCAAATTAATATAGTATTTCGAATTGTTTCAATATACGATGTATTCGTTTGTATAACACCTTCAAAAAATTATGGGACTTGAAAATTCGAAATTGAAATTTCTCATTCATAATTAATTTTCATGTTTCAAGTCATTGTATAGACATAAATATTTAATGTTATAGGTTGATATTACAAAATACAAATCTAAATTAAGATTTATTGCATAAATTGACTCCAAAGTTATACATATTGGTCAAATAACCAATCCAAATACGCAGAATATTTCATTTGACTAAATTATTAATAAATACATTATTTTTATTAACCTTTAACCGAAGAGTTGGTAGTCTATTTTACACTTTCCGTTTGTTCTTTTGTAATTGTTTTCTTATATTTCTTTCTCACAGTTTCATATTCTCTGTATAACTTTATACTGTTTTAAGCTCTCTTATTTAGGTGTTAATTTTGTGTCGTGTGTAAAGCACATACCGAGTAATTGGGAGAGAGGTGTAATAATTAATAGCAACTCGACAAATTTGTTAAAAATTTCACCTCATACTGTTAGGGTTAATTTAGAAAAAAAATTATAAAATTAAAGTAATTTTAATATTATAATAAGATCCCCTATAGTTGACAGATTGATTTTAATGAGTGTTATTTCATTTTATTAAAGAAAATTAAAAAAAAAAAAAACTCATTTAATTTAAGCGATTTTAATTTTTCTTTTGATTTTGTTTTCCAAAAGTACATTTTACACGGTTAATTATTTCTTATTTTTCTGTCTAAATTTTTTTTTTCAACTATTTTCTCGTTGTTTGTCTAACACCGAACGCATACATGTATACAATTTTATAATATACATTTTTGAGTGTGTACGTACTATAAGAAATTTTTCTTATCAAATTCATTTACATAGGATCCGAAATATATCACGAGTTATTTAAATTATATCATGCTGATTGTTATATTCAAAATCATTTTAAGTGAGTGAAAAATATCATAACATAACGAAAATAGTCTACAAGAATTTTTTATATTTTCAAAAGCAAAAAAAAACAAAAAAAAACTCGAAAATACCCATTTCTCATATTTTTATTGTCCTTTTTTCTAAAATTTTTTTTGGAAAATTTCATTTTACCTTCAACGCTGTTTTATTTTTTGTAAATATACAATATATACGAGTATATTACACTTAACATTCTCTCTTCATAGAGAATAAAATGTATATATATAGAAAAGAAAAATCAAACATAAATAATAAAGTAAGAAAATTACAAAATGTAGGAAAAACAACAAAAAACAAAAAAAAAATCCTTATTTTAACAAAAATGTTACTATAAAAGTACCATTATAAAAATTCTATATGTAGTAGTGAGATTAAGATAAAGATCATCTATTGCCGATTTTACTTTTTTTTTTCCTTATATATATTTTGTTGTTGGTTAATATTAAATTTATGTGTTAAATAAATAACATTTATATAATGAAATAAAAAAAAGAAAAAAACCAAAAATTTTTATGAGAAGAGAAAGTAGAGAATAAAATTGGGCTATAGAGAATCAGTCCTTGACCCAAATGAAGTTCGTGAGCATAATATGAAAATAAGAAAAATAAATATATAGGTAAGAAAATATAAAAGTAAAATATTTAAAAGAAAAATTCAGAAAAAAAGTAAAAAAATTTTACACATTTTTTTCTTTTAGCGATGGCGATTGTCATAAATAAAAAGAACATTTTTCCTTTACTAATTCTTTAAAAAAAGCAACCAAAAAAAAAAAAAGTTGATAAAATGTCCTTGCAAATTTAATTCTTAATACCATTATTCCTTCATTCATTTGTGATTTTTTGTTTCACATACTTTTGATTCATGCAATTGAAATTTTTTAATTTTTTTTTTATAATTTTTTTGTTTTGTTGATTAAAAAAGTTTTCTATTACTCATCCTGGTATTGAAATTCCCTCTTAATTTAATACTTGTTTAAAAATTTCATCTTTTTTTAAAAATAAAATTAGATTAAAAAATTGATTAATTTATAATTTAATATAAAAATATTGTAAGAATTAAACTAAATTCTGGAGTCCATATGCAATGTTCGAATTACAAAAAAGAAAGTTCAGTGCAGCTTTGAATTTGGCAAAATCTTAATCAGGTAAATTTTGAATGGCTACAAGAGCACGAGTTTTGCAAATTTGTATTGGAAGAGGTATGAAAGATGAGAAATTAATTTTTATTATTAATATTAAAAGAATAAATAAATATTCTAAAAAATTATTGGTGAATTGTGTTCTTTATTGATGAACAATCCTTCAGACCAAGTCATTCTAATGGCACAAATTCATAATCAGAGCTTATATGTATTTTTTGAAAAGCAATTGTTCAAATTTTGTTTCTTGAATTCAGTAGGTTTCTTCATGAGACGAAAATTAAAAATCAACTGAGTTAAATTTTAATTATATATGCTTTAAAGCTAGTTTTAAAATACATCGAATAAAAAAAATTACTTAAAACTGCTTTTAAATTTCATATGATTTGTTAAAAAATTAAATAACAATTCTTATTGGAAAATAAGACGTTTACGAGACCAAACTTATGTTTTTTTACTAAGTTAAAATTTAAAATGGTCTGGTGAAGAGAAAAGATTCAAGAGATTCCTTAATCAATGATAGTTTTAAAATTTACAAACAAAATGAAATCTTGCCATATAACAACATTACAATTACCAAAATCTAAATATTAATAACTTAAGCTAAAAAGTTTAAATAAGAAATTATACAAGATTTGATATTATGAGTCAACTATAAAACATATGAATCATAAAATTAAAATAAATTAATAAATGTCTAATAAAAAATTATAAATAATTTAACAAATAATTAATTAAAATCGTTTACATTGAAAATATTTACTATAATACAGAAAGTTATTAATTTTGAATTACCTGCAATTCTAAATAAATTATTAAGTATATATATAAGTATATTATGTATATAATAAACAATTTAGTTATTTAATTAGGTGATTTAAAAAGGTGTGACGGATTTTCCAGATTTAATTTTTGTGATATTTTCTGCAATTTCATCAAATTTATACCAAATATTTTTTTTCATGATTTTTTTATTCTTATGTGTTTCATGGTCATTTTTACCATATAATATTGAAAATTCTGTCTCGTCAAACATTATTCAAGCATATATACCACGTTTAGTAATAATGTACATAAATATTGTGTATATAAACAAATTTCTTTTCTTTATAGTGATGAATGTTAGGAATACCAAAAAGTAACAAAAAGAAAAATTATAATTACCATATAATCCTTCACCTAAAAAAAATATGAATAGCAATATTGTAATCGTAATTGGTAATTACATCAAATATATTTTTACATTATATGTAAACATTTTTTTTGTTTTTTGGCTTTTGTTGCTCCTTAAAATTATTAATAAAATGTTTACTTTAATGTTATTAACTTAAATCTACAAATAATTTCATTTTAATGATATTTTTTTTTCATGAAAATTAAAAATAATAAAAAAGTAACACTAAAAAAATTGAAAAACTTCAAGGATACATTATTTTTTCCTATTTAAAAAAAATTGCATATATTTAGGCGACTAAATTTAATAATGAATTTTACAAATTCATTTAGCAATGTACAAACCGGTTATGGTTATTGATTTAAAGTGAATTGGAATGTCACAGTTGGTACCTTCATTTAATTAATTTAATTAATACTGAATACAATGCTTTAATTTTATACAAATATTTTTGATAAATAATAACATACCATATATTTTAGATAATTCGAAAATTATAGTTAAATTAAAAAAAAAAAAACAAATCTAGGTTAACCTACAAATATGGTTGAGTCAACATTTAAAAAGGTTTTTTAAAGGATTGGCTCATATATTCTAATGAAAAAATTGAAAGTAGACGAATCATGTTAAAATTATATTATGAGGAAGTAATTTTAAAATTACAAACTGCAGATTTCAAATATTCGAATATAAAAATTAAAAAGCAAAAAAAAAAAATTCAAGGATTCTTTTGAACCACTCCTTTGTGTTTTTTTCTTCTTTCAAATTACTTAGAAATGGTTTGGAAATTTAAAAAAAATATATATAAATTACAATATACGCCTTTTTAAAACTCATTTACTACAAAATATTTCAAATTATTTTATTTTTTTGCTTCTTTATTGTCCTAGTTATATTATGTTTTAGTATACTGTGTACATAAAGTACACAAGCCTTTTTATGTACATAATATTTTTAAGGAATTTGAATAAATTATAAATTATTGCCTTATTTATGAGTTAGTAGTTTTAACTATAATCTTTAGACGTTTAATCATTCATGTTTAAATTAATTATAATCGCTAATAGGTATTATATACATATATACGTACATATATGTACTCATAAATAAATGTGAAATACATGAAATCATTAAGTTGTAGTATAGAATTAAATTTTCGAATATTTGAAAAAATATATGAATATAAAATGTAAGTAAATTAAAATTTTAAAAATTTGATTCGAAATTTAAGGCTTAATATTTTCATGTATATGCATGTAAAAAGTATTTTTGTAAGAACTTTCCTACGTGTACAAGGAACCGGCATATGGTAAATTTAATTTTAACATATGCATTTATATTTAATTTTGCTAAAATATTTTTTATAATTCTGAGATCGTAAAATGCAGTCTGGACGTAGCTAGAATTCTGTAGCTTTCTATATTATTGTATACGTACTTCAATTATAGTTCCGAAAATAAGTATGAAAATAAAGAGAATAATAGTAAAATTACTATAATGAATAATAGTAATTTTACTATTATTCTCTTATTTAATTAAACTGCTAAAAATTATAAACAGTCTTTTTTCTGAATTATTTTGTTATAAATTTAATAGAAACTTTTAGAAAACAAAACTATTTTTAAATTCAATCATAAATAAATCAAAACTTTACGTTATAATATAAAATAATTTGGTATTGTGGAAATAATTTAAAATTTACTCATTCATTTCTATTGATTTTGATAAATTTTCCACTTTGTTTTGTAACATGTCGACTAGTTCTGGCTGAACTTTTAATATATTGACAGCTTCTTGAAGAAGAGCCATTGATTCCATTAATTTCTCCTGAAAATAAATTTTTCCAAATAATAAAAATTTAAAAATTTTGTTAATGAATATGTTATGCATTTTGACAGACGACCATATCTAAATATATTTTTAAAACTGACCTGAGTATCTTCTTTCGTAATCAGGCCCTCATTAAATTCATTTTTAGTTTGAAGTGCCATTATTTCTTGCAAATCTAATAACAATAATCCTCTAAAATTACTTAAACCAGGATCAAAAATATCTGCAATATCTAAGAGTTCCATGCATAAATCTATTTTACGTTTAACAGCGGCACTATTCAATTCTAAAATATTTAAAAATAAAAAAACATTTTTTTATGTTAACTGAAAAATTGATTGGGTTTAGGTAGTTTCACTGCATCAGTGATAAAGTAAAGATATCCTTGAGTTCCATGCCACAGCAGTTTTTGAATCCGATTGAGCTAATAAACATTGTTGAACTCAAAGCATCTTTAATGTTAAAAATTAACAAACTTTTACTGTAATGTACTTTTAATTATATTATACTCATTATAGACAAAATCATATCCTTACCATGAAGTAGAAATTTTTCAACATTTCCATATAGCTGAGTGAGAGCATATTTAATTTGCAATATATGAGTATTTTTTTCATGGAGAGTATCTTGATATTTTACAATAAATTCTTCAAAATCTTTTGGTGATTTTTTATCTAAATTTTCGATTTCTTTTTGTATTGCTGTATTGCCCCATGCTATTTGTTTAGCTGGAATTTGATGTGGACACAATTCACATTTCCATGGGGCATTTTTATCAGATGTATTAGTTGAGATAATTTTACCCACTTTACATTTAGAACATAAAATTGCTCCACAATATGTACCAAGTTCTGTTGGATCCATACATCTTTTACATGTACAATCAAAACATTTAGCTTGTCTTAAATGTTCTTGCCTTAATAATGTACTCTTTAATGGTTGAGTATATGATGTACATATTGTACCACCTTTTGGTATATCTACAGTAGCCAAAAATATGATATTCAAATCATCATCAAAAATATGTTTTGTATTTGGTACACAATCATGTGAAATCATTGCTGAAGATGGATACAAGGCACGAATTTTTATATTATTTTTTGGTTGTCTAATTTCAAAAGAATTTGTATCTAATATTGCAGCAGTTTTTAATATTTCATTTTCATCTGAATCTTGTAAATTTAATATTGTTTTAACAAATGTTACTAAATTTGATTTTAATATTTTATATAGTGGTGTATTTATTCTTTCTTCTAAATGATCTTGTAAAGATGTGAATTGTTTATATCCATTTGGATTTAATTTTTTCATCATTATACATCTTAATGGTAAAATTGTACAATATGCTGATTCTTTTTTTGGTGTTTTTGATGCTGTTATAGTACTTATAAATTTCTTTTCATGCATAACTTTACATTCTTCTATGTGTTGTGGTGATTTTTCACATTGCGGTCCACATAATGGCCATGTACATTTTGAGCATTTATAAAAATCATTTAAATTTAATGGTATCGGTAATATTTTATGACAACCTAAACACATTGGATATGAAGTAATTTTTGGACCATAAATTAATGGTGACTCTCTTAAAATGACATCACCCTGTTTGATATCTTTTGTTGCTCTTAGATAACGTCCCAAAACTGGATCAGATGATATCTAAAATGAAATTATTATTTAATTATTTTTAAGAATATTCTTGATTTTTTTTATTAAATTATATATTTTATATATTGTCTATAATCCGATATTATTTAATTATATAAAAAGCAAAGAGAAAAATCTTGCACAAACGTCTTTTTCTTAATGCATCAAAATGAAATATGTACATAATGTATAATTGGACACGATATTTTTTAATAGAAAATTTTTCAAAAATTCAAAATTCTTACCATTTGCAATATGATTAATTGATTTACATGAATTCTTGACTAAGCTACAAATATTTTGTCTTGTATGACTATTTATCAAATTTAATAATAAAATGTTTGCAAAATATAAAAATTTCAAATAATGCAATTAAATTGAAATTATTTAGAAAGGGTATTCCCATCAATCTACATATATACCATAAATAAAATTATAAATGGTATAAAATTAGTGCATCTATACAAGTATAATGGGTTGTGTGCCGTTTTTATTTGCTCATTTTTTGAATTAATGCCAAAAAAACAAATTTCATTGGATTTGCTTGCATTTTACCTAATTTATTGCCATAAATTTGAATAGAAAGTGAAACTATTGGGATGAATGATAAAAAAGAAATAATCAAAATAAATAAACGTTAAACGCAAGTTGCCGCAATATTATAAGATAAACTGCTTTCGATCATATGAAATTTGAAAATGTATGTATATATGTAAATTGACTTGACTTTCCCAGAGATCGGAATACTAATAATACTGTAATAATGAAATATTCAGCTTATAAATGCCAATTGCTGAATTGTGTATTTATACGGTTATATTACAATTCCGATTCAGAGTGTTTTCCTATTTTAATTCACAATGTTCCGTTTCATTTCTTTTGTTTCATTTATTATACATATTTCAATTTGAGTATGTATAATTAAATATCAATAATTCAAATTTCAATAATAATGTCCGAAATGTATGATAAATTTAAAAGCGTTACTTTTTTTTTATTCTAAAACACGGAAATTTAGAACCAAGATCATGTTAAACATTATTTTTCTAAATTTTGGAACCTCTAGTTCCTCCAAATTGTAATGTTATTGAATGTATTTAACTTGAAATTCGCTTTCATGTAATTCCAACATATATCCATTCCAGCATATATCCATTTTAGTATGTGTGCGTGTAGCTTACAAAATTTCTCAACGAATTACTTATTTAAAAAATATTAAAGAATTTGCTAAAAACATTGTTTTCTCAGAATATTATATAATTCATTTTTTGTTAATTTTTTTCTACTTTGAAATATCCCAAAGTTGCAAGTATTTTGTATAATGACTCTAAATGCATACTTTGTAAATTACACACAAGTAATAAAGAATGAATGGCAATTGCATTTCTTTTTTCCTTTTGATAAATTAGCTCTAAAATTTATTTATAAACTTTGTTAAAGTTAATTGTTTTTAATTTGCATGATATTTTCTATTTAATTAATTAGTCGCAAAATTTATTGTCCTAAAAATTTTTGCTTTAATTGAGAAAATATTCAAATATTAAAAAGTTCTAATTTTTATATTTAATTTTAATTATAAATTTAAGTAATTGATCATCATTATTAAAAATATATATATGTAATATGTATGTGTATTTTGTTTTAATTGAATTAATTTAATTAAAACAACTTGTTTACTTAATTTTGCCGTTTTATGAATTTTTAAAATGTCAGAATAAGAAATAATTAGAATATACACACATATGTCTGAATTGTCAAAACTGTCATATGTTCCAATTGAAGGTGTTGAGTTGAATGAACAGAAATTCGAATAATCTAATTAAAAGTTAAAATATTCTTAATTGCCAAAAATTTAAATGTTTCTTTTATTACTTTAAAAATTAATTTTTGTTTCTGTAAAAAATTAAAATTAAAATTACCTCTTCGCAGTTCTATACTTAATTTTGTTTATCTAAATTTAATATTGATAAATAGCCAAAACAATAATGTTAATGACATTGGAAATTATTATTGTACTTGGCAGTACTTGCATATAATATAATATAATAATAAAGTTATTGATAAAAATGTCAAAAACTAACCTCAAAACATTTACAATTATTTTTATGCTCTTTTTTCCAATGAATTTTTTGATGTTCTTTACCACAATATACAACATTTTTACATCCACCACATTTTAAACTCGCTTTAACACCACATACCGGACAATTTGTTAAATTATTTGCCATGACTTTTTTTTTATTCTTAAATATTAAAATTATCGAATTTTTATAAAAAAACGAAAATCAATTGTAAAATTACAATGAAAAATAAAACTTTTTTCTAATAATTGTTGCGCAACTATTGAAAAAATCTTGAATAAGATAAAAAAAAAAAAACAAAATTACTTAATGCCGTGTAAAAAGTAAAATTGAAAATATACGAGAATTGCCTGTTGCACGATTTTCACATCACCAACGAAATAAAAGATCTAAGTAAATTTTAAATTAAAGATCTCTCTGATCATCTAATATAAACAGTTTTTCGAATTTTCTTTACGCATATGTACATACGCTTATGTTTTACTTTTGTGCTTTTCCAAAAAAAAGAAAACAAATAAAGAAAAAAAAGAGTAAACTTAGAAGAGAACTTTTCAAATTTAAAATTAATTTTATCTTTGCTTTATTTTTCAATTTATTTATTTATATATATATAATGTAATGTATAATGTAAACTAAACATTTTGTTTTCGGAAAATATTCGAAATTTTCGAAAATAGAAAATCATACAATTTTTAAGATTTTATGAAAATAGAATTACCAGATTTTTTTAAAAGCTGAAAAAAATGCAAGAATAAGTAAATTTTGGCTTAATATGAAGATGAAGCAGAAAATTTGATTGGGTTAATCAATTACATATGTACGTATAAAAGAATCAATTTCAGTTTATGATTTCGTAATGAGGCAATATACCAGACAAAGCCTTTTAAATCAATTTTGCAAAGGAGATCGGAACACTTAATTAAAGTAACCTTATGTGGTACCCAAAAATTCTAATAGATTATATGTAGATCAGAATGAAATAAATTAATGCTGATTGTTTTTTGTCGAAGACAATGTGATTACAAATATTTTTTATAGAATAATGTAAGGAAAGTTGCACTTCAAACTAAAATTCAAAAATTTGTTATATGAAGATTTTCGTAGTTTACAAAATTTTTAGCCTGGCAGCCGGATTAAAAAAATTCACCACATACAAGTATAACAAGGTGAGTAAATATTATTTGAATTATAAACATAATTAATGTTTGCTTTTTAAAACTTATTGTTTGCAAATATTGAACTGCAACAGTACGTTATTATAATAAAGACACTTACCGATTGCAATGGAGATTTTTTGACGGCACCAAATTTCCCATATTAAGCTTTCGATGGGAACGCACTTTCCATGATAGTAATGTATAATTTAACTAATTTTAGCGAGATTAAAGTCAGTTTGTGTGTTGACGCGTCTATATCAAGTTCGACTGGTCTGATTTTTATTAAAATTTTTATTGTATGAGTTTACTTTAATTAATTGACGGATCGATATAAAAAAAATAACTATTAAGCTGTTTGGGTACCTAAATTATTACTTGAAAACTAATGAACGGTGCTTTAATAATTAGAAAGTGTTTAAAACTTTTTTGTTGCGAAGTAAATGGGCTTCTTAAGGTGCATTCGCTCAATTTTAACTAAACCTTCTTTAATTAAGCTTTGAATGTTAAATTTAATTAAAATTTTTAAAATTAAAATTACATTTTATAATATAATATTTTTAAAAGGTTATAAATTTTTTGGAATTTACAAGTTGACAAAAATTTGTCGTCATGAAAACGCGAAAAACTAAAATCTTTATAATCGAAATGGTTTTTTTTTTCTTTGTCAAGGTTAATAATTTAATTATAAGAAGTGAATAGAAGGGGAGTAGAACGTGCTCTAACATTATTCAACTTGAGAAGCATTACTAATCAGAAACATAATAATTAACACCATTTAAACACAATGTACACATTACACATTATTGTCCTTGAGCATTTTCAATTTTTTTTGTTGTTTTTCTTCACATGACAACACAGAATTGTCAAGGATAATAATTAAAATAAACTAAACGGTATTTATAGTGATTTGCATGTTTAAATGAAAAAAAAAATAATGAATTTTACTTTTAAAATCATTAAATGACCATCCTAAAAATTACATTCTAATTACACAAGTTCCCAATTTTGTTAATTGAATTTTAAATTTTCACTTCAAAACAAAAAAAAATTAAAAAATTCTAAGAAAAGAAACGTTATAACATTCTTGTAAATATGGAAAATTATGATCTTTTTTGAAAATTTAATAGAAATAGTGGATTACTTTAACAACATTAATAATTTGTGTTATATTTTACTATGATTTGTACATGCAAATAGTGTTCGAGGAACTACTCATGCAAATTAAAATCGTTTCTTTTAAAATAATTCACATTTTTTCCAAGAAACGAGCCTAGGTGACATCACATTTTAATAATTTAAAAAAAAAATTTAATCTTTTAATCTCTTTCCAACAATTTATTCAAACGAACATCCAAATAGTTAAGTGAGACAAAAGCAGGGTTTGCCTGAATATGGTAAGAGACTATACCAAAATAATGAGAGCAGAACAAAATGATACAATGGAAGAGTTTTACAATAATTACTTACCCAATAACATAATTTGCTATATTTTAGAAAACTAATATCAATGTTTCTGCAAGGATCGAATTCATCAAGAAAAGTAGGTAAATGGAGAAATAGAATAACCACTGAATACAGTCTTTTAAGAAGAGCAAACCGATTCTGGATGGTCTTATGAATATTCTGCCACCAATTTTAAAAACATCTGAAAGCTGAAGTAAGAATTTTAAAACTGAAGTAAGAATATTCAGACAAGCACGATGGACTTCGTTTTCATTGTCATTTTTATATAAAACTGAAAAGAACTGTTACGGCCATTAAACAGGAATGTTCAACTTCATTTTCATTCTCTTGCTGTTTCGAAGACGAAAAACATATACGAGAGAAATTATATATATCTTTAGTGATATGTGTCTTTACTTTCATATAGCCATGGTGATATTCCAAAATTCATATTTAAAAGATTTCTATTTAAGGAACATATAGTTGATGATTAATTGCTACATCTTTTTCATCAAACAAAATGTAAGAAGTATTCTGTTTTCAGTACCGGGGGAAAATCGTCTTTTAAACTTCTTTCGAGGTGCAATATAGAAGAAGCGGAATGGAGAGTTTTGTAGGCAAATTACAACATCAGAGAACAACATCGTACTAATAATAATGCTTAAAACAAACATAAGTAGTATGCAATAAAAGTTAAATTTTTAGAGACAATAGAGTAGTTCTCTATTGAAAGGAAAGAAATTTCATAATGAGACAAAACGACCATTAGCCTTATGTAATAAAAGTAGCGGTCCCAGATAGGATTTACCTCAGATGAGGTAACAACTAGGCGAATTTGGCAACATGAAAATAAAGGTAAGTCTTGTAATATTAGAAAGTACAATCAAGCCTTAATCACCAAAAAAATACCCGTCTAAAAGTGGACAGAAGGAAAGAGAAAGAGAAAAAAGTTATGGCGAATTTAAAGATCCTTTTCTTAAAAAACACTAAAACATTACAGAATATATGTATGTGCAGTTTGTAAAAAATTTAAGTGAGTCTGACATAAGCGGTTCGAATGAATAATAAACAGCTAGCAAGATTGGTGTTATCGAAAAGCAGCAACACAAAACTTTGAATCATAAAGTTCATATATAGGAAATTCAAAACACTAAAAAATACCGGCACAGTGCTTGAGCAACAACATAATGTTAGAAAAAATGAGGAAATAGTTAGGTGTTACACCAAAATTCTGAATAGTGTTACTACTTTCTTATATGCAATACTCATAAAACAGGTTTTTTTCAACATGCCAAAATTTTAATTAAAAAAAATTAGAATTTCATTAACCATTTCTTGTAACTGAAAATTAAATTAAAAATTTTTTTTCTTCAAATATTTTATTTTAAATCTCTTGCCTAAGAAAAGAAAAAAAAATAATTTTTTAAAATATATTTTTTATTTTTTTTCTTACATATTATTTCAAAAATCTATGAAAAAATCGAAAATCGTCCGTTATGTAAATTTCCCTGTTGGGTCAGTAAACTGAATTCCGGTTGACATAAATTTGCCTTGGACATGAAAAGTGGTTGCTGGTAAAAACAATGACAAAAAAAAAAACGAAACACTACAAAAAACTATTTTAATTTTTGTATTCCTATTATTCTTATTGTTATTATTTTTAAAAAAAATTCCTTTTATAAGTATAAGGACATTTAAAAGGACATGCATTTATAATTTATACATATGTATGAAGGTAAATGAATGCTTATATGTTAAAATTTAATAATACTTGTAAAATATATGAAAGTCGAAAGAAAAATACACTAAAACATTTTTATATCAAAGGAAATAAACATTAAGGAAAAGTTTCATATGAAGAAAAATTAATATCATTGTAATACAAATATACATACACATACACAACAAATATGTTGTATGCATGTAATAATGTATAAGTTATTTTAATGAAAAACAACTAGCCAATACATTTACAAATGTAATTTTCTGACTTTAAATTAAAATGTAATTTTAGAATAAGCCTGATGTGTAACGAAAGGGTCAGCACATATGCATGTAAAATCAAATTTAAGAAATTACGTTAGAATCCTTAAACCTTGTATTGGCTGGTAAACATTTTCATTTTATTATAGAATTATACTCGATACAACTATTAATATTAAAATATGTAATATTATTATTGCAATATATTACAACATATAAGTGGTTCAAATGTTTGTCATATGATGTTAACGAAATCATTGAAAATTTGGTTATAATGCATTATAAAATGCATGTAGATTAATGATTTTCTTCTTGAGATTATAAAATATTGAGATTAAATTAAATGATTCTTCTTATTAAATAAATAAAATGACTCAAACACATCAAAATAAATACAATTGCTCAAACTGAGATTAATACTTTGTCGGCTCTTAAAGGTCACCTTCGAATTGATATATTATCAGACCAAGTTGCTACTGGTTTGCTGGGTAGCGGATTAGCTCCCGGTTGCTTTATTTTTTATACGGTAATGAGGTGAGGTCTATTAGTTGGCATATGGAGTGCTGGTCTGGTGGCTAATTGCATCACGAACAAAAAACTGTGTAATCGAGCAAAAGAAATTGAAAAGGGTGAAGCGAATGGCATGTTTAAGAATGACTGGTGTAGACGTACTACGCCTAATTTGGTGTAAAGATTATTCCTGGCCAAGCAATTGGAACTCTTAAAATTAAGTGAGCGCTCAGAGTAGGATTTTGAAGGATATGGGATATGTGCTAGG